TTTCCAATATCCGTCCAGTATTCCAGTCTAGTATTTGTCTGGAATGAACAATGGCTCAGCATTTGCTTTTCATGCAAACTAGAATTTATTTTTATACACACGTATTTTTCTCATATATATATATACATATGTTTATTTTTTGGGCATAACCGAAAGCGCCGGCCATTCTAAGCCCGCAGCGCCGCTTTGTTGTTTGTGTTAAAAGTAAAAACAACAAAAAGACAACAACAACAAGAAGTAGAAGAACAACAACAACATTAGAGCCCGAATTCCACCTGTAATAACGTCGCAGAAAAGAGCAGCCGGGCCGAAACTGCGATACACACCGAAATCAAGAATTGAGCAGCAGACAGAACCCGAACTCGAATCGAAACAGAAAAAAAAACCAGATTTACTACTAATTTAAATTCTTGGCATACAAAAATTCTAAAAAAAAAATAAGAAAGAAAACAACAACAAAATACAACAAATTAAAATTGAGTTTGGAAACGCAGGCGAAATGGCTTTATTGGCAAAAAGAAATATATTGGCTGGCCACAATATAGCGCACTCTTTCGCACAACCTCTCTCTTTCTCTCTCGCTCTATATATATGTATCTTTCTCTCTCTCTCTCTATTTGTGCGTGACAAACGCCGCGAATTTCCGCTCGGTTAGCAGACGCTTCCTTTAATTTTTATTAGCGCTGACAAATGGACATATATATGGGCATATACTTGGACATATACCTCAGATATATGCCTTGTACAACAATTTTTACTCTTTTGGCAAAAGGCAATTATCGCTAAAAAAAAAACATATATCCATTACTAACTTAAAGTACTTGCTGCTGAAAAATAAATAAATAAATAACTAAAAAACCGGCCCATATTTACATATATATATATATATATATATTTTTTTTTTTTTTTGTTATCTCTACGAGCACGTGCATTCACAATTTGTTGTCCATGGCTTTAAATACAAGTAAGCGTGCTCTAATCGGGTATGCACGACTGGCAGATACTCCCAGTCCAGCGACAAGTTGAACAAAACACATGCATACTCTTTATAAGAGCTCGACTCTTGTTTAACTTCGGTACTTATAGTCCCATCTTTACGAATTTTGTGGGAATTCAATATGGAAGCGCAAGACTCTTACTTTTAATATGAGCTATAGAGAATGTGCCAGATTATTCAAAAAATAAAATTTATATAAACTCTATATACTTCTCTTCTGCCTGTCACATAAATTCACAGCAAACCAATATACCCCTTATAGCAAATTTTCATTGAGTTCCGCTCAAAACGAACCTGTAAACTACATTGTGCATGGTATCGTGGTAGTATGTTAATTTGTGAACAAAAAAAAAAAACAAACTGAAAACTAAATAAATGCGGCATTAATTATGCATTTATTTAAAAGCGTATCAAGCGCCGCGGGCTATGACCAAATTTTATCATGAGTGTAAATCGTATATATACCAGATGCGAAAACCTCGATTCGATTTGAAAACTGAAAGTTGGCCTCAAAACACGGTTCCAATTCGTTTTTTTTTTGTTTTGTGTTTTACGTTTTTTTCTCAAGCCATGCATTTGATTGCGGCTTAGATAGTGCTTGAATTGGGCGTGTTTGAGTCGAGAATACTTGAGCTTGGCTTTAGATAGATATGTGGCAAGATATACACAAGTTTCGGAACATCAGTTTCCACATTCAGTTTACAACACTGATTCAACACATTAAATACAATTAATAGTTGGAGGGAGCTCCCAAGTTTTTTATGCTTCTGAACTGAGTCTCCATTCTCTTCAACTTAATAATTCAATAATATCTCGGTACGGATTTTTAATTTAAAATGAAGCAAACTTTTGTTTTAATTGTGAACTAGTTCGTTCTTAAATCCGATTTGCAACCTTGATATTATCTACGCAATTGCGGAGCTGTAAGAATATGTAAACGAGGCTGCGTGCAAAAGTCAACTACCACACACACACACACACACACACACACACACACATACACACACACACATACACACGCACACACACACATACACACACACATTGCGTGCTCTAAGTGATTTCAAAATAAGCCACAAGAAGAGCAACTTGAAGTCGACAGCCCATCGACGGGCTGCCACACCCTCCGCCCGCACAATCCCCCCTCGACCCGTTGACTCGCACGCATCTGTATCTTGTTTTGCTCGCGTCGCGCCTTTAGCAAGTGATTTCAATTTAATTGACAGTCCTTGAACTTGACTTAAAGGCAACCACAACACAAACAACTTATACAACAACTACAGCAACAACAACAACAACTTCGACAACAACAAAATATGCAGAGGCAACCGGCAACAACCGGCATTTCAATGTGCCACACAGCCTCCTACATCAGCTCGCAGAACTCTCTGGCAAATGTCAAAAGTTTAAGTTCTCATTCTTTCAATTTTTTCGTTGTTTTTTTTTTTTTTGGTGTTGTCGTTTTTTTCCTCACTATGAAAATCTATGCGCCATACATTATTCAAAAATCTAGTGCTAAAAAATAAAGCATAACAATATGTTATTTGTGCGTGTTGTTTTTTTTTTTTGTTGTTATTTTTTGTTCTCTCTTGGCTTTTGTTAATTTATACGAATTTAAACAACTTGGCGGGTTTTTTTCTAGATACTCTATTTGTATTTCGGGTATATTTCATCAGATGAGAAGGGTTTTCTATCTAGTTTACAATAATAATTAGTGTTTTTGGTGTTTAGCTTAGCAGTTATTATAATAATTATTATTATTATTATCATTATTAATATTATTATTATTTATTATTAATTTTATTATAACTTTAATTTATTATTCATTCATTATTCTCAAAGTTGAGGAAAGAGTCTTCATTTGTTTGCTTAAGTCAAATTTTATTTATTTTCTTGCATTTTCATGTTTTGCTATTAGTTGACGAACTTGAAAAGCAAATAATAAAGGCGGAGAGGAGAAGACAGAGAGAGTGAGAGCGAGAGAGAAAGGGAGAGAAAAATTGAGAGTTGAGCGCGATTGACAAGAGAGGCGTGGCTGAGTTCTTCATGAGTTTTAAGCTCAAAAAACAATTTTGTTAATCTGTTTGTCGTCGTTTTTTTTTTTTTTTGGCAAAATAAATCTTAAGAGCACATGGAGATAGACGTTCTGTATGAATATATATATATGTAGAGAGGAAGAGAGAGAGAGAGCGAGAGAGGCAGAGAAAGAGAGACGTAGCATATATAATTTATATTGAAAGCATGCGTACGCCACGTATTTTCTAAAATATGGATATGAATATGTATATATGTTTATGCATGTATCTATGTATCTATATGTTGTATATATAAGTAGTATTTATACGAATAAGTATCTCACATACGAACATTTCATTCAGTGCGCGTCTGTGCATGTGTGTGTGTGTGTGCTGTATGCGAGAGCTATGAATGGTTAATACTAGACATGGCCCATAAGAAAAGGTTGCCTATGCCCCCCCTTTCCAACCTCCTTTGCCCAGCAGCTTGAGCAGGCTTATAAAAATTCAATTATGACTCGGCAAGTTGGCAACACGTGTCGGTTTTTCAATGCTTTCGGTTTTCTATTTCGATTTTTTTATGCTCTTTTTTTTTATTATTTTTCGCTTTTTTTTTTTTGGTGTGTGGATGCCTGAAGAAAAATACATGGACTTGGGCTGCTCTTGAAGCGCACAGCTATTGTTGTGGCCGCGTGTGTGTGTGCGAGTGTGTGTGTGTGTGTGTGTGTAGTATACGCCCCGTGTGCTCATAAAAACAAAGCGCACGCAGCGAGAAGATAAATAGCCGCAGGTGACAAAACGATATTCAAATGCATAACTTGATATTCAATAGATAAACCGAGATCCAGAGCTCGTATAATAAAAGTAAATGAAACCAACACACACACACGCACGCACACACATGTGTGTGTACAATTTTTTGAGCGAGTTGAAGAAAAAAACTTTCACCCGCAAATGATCTATGGACACAAAAGCCAGCCTCAAGACTTTCGCATTCAAATCGATGAAGCCAGAAGCCAAATGCGTTCAAGTACACACATCTAATTACACTCGAAAAAAAATGGAAGAATCCCCCAAAAAAAAAATAAAAAAACAAACTGATTAGAAATCAGTTGTCGTCGACAAGAACTTACTTTCACAAAATCGAAATTCAAGTTCATGGCAAGAGATTGGCAAACTTTGAAGGCAACTCGCACAATTTCCCAAAAATGTACGCCTATCTCCAGCTCTATATAGTATATGCCTAAAGACTTGATGACGTTGCTATCAAAAAATAAAAACATCGATAAGTAAAAGTTCTCAAATCAAGATAGTGTGTGTGTGCGTGTATTTTCTGCATAGACTGTTCCTAAAAAAAGTGCGTGTGCGTGAGATACGCCGAGATTGTGGGGGCGCCTATAGAAAAAAAAAAAAACCATGAAAGAGTCCATAATATTTTGATTTCTTTTTGTGTGTCAATGAACTCGCTTGAACTAAATTCTATTTTTTTTTTTTTTTTGTATGCTTCCTAGTTTTATTGGCTTTTGTTTTATGCCCATTTAATTTTGGTTTATTTTCATTTTTATTTACATTTTGTTCGTTTGCGTTATCTGAAGGAAAAAAAAAAATAAAACTAAAACAAAATGTTGCGTAGGCCGCTTTCTTGAATGCGTCTAGAAAAGAAAAGTTATGACAAATTCGTTGAGGGCTCTGATAAATGTATTTGGTCGGTTGATAGCGCTTGGATTTGGTTGAGAAATCGGGTCAAGAGGTCGACTTTATATATGTCGTATAATATTAGTTAGGTCTGTGCGAAAAGAGGAATCTATAGAGGGGGAGTCAAGCTAAAATCATAAGAATCAAGAGTATTTCTTTGATAATAACCAAATAATTGATAATTACATATAATATATGTGTTCAGTTTTTCCGAGCCTCTTCCTCATGACAGACTTGTCGGGTTTATTGATAAGGTGTATATATAATTTATAGCAGACAATTTGAGCACAAGTCAGTTGCTTTTGTGTTTGCCTGATAAGCCCCTAGCCGGGGATGAATGGCCTGCAAAAATGTCCAGCTGGTTGGTCACAAAGATGCGTCCACTCAGAAGTGAATACCCGTTGTTCCGTTCAGCTATAAAAGCTCCAGCTTGAGCCCAAGTTGAGCACAGTTGAATTTTGCCAAGCAAAGTATTGTCAGCTCCGACGAAAGATGTCTGCCAACAAGTGCTACATCCTGCTGCTCCTCGCCTGCTGCCTGGCTGCTCTTGCTGTTGCTGATGTGCCGGGTAATCCAGCTAACAGGCTGATACGACGCCAGAGATCGCCGCAGCCGCAGCATGGCCCTATGGTTTTAACAGCTGACAAGGATGAGGCGGGACGTCAGGCGAACAACCAGTATAATCATAATCTTTTCACTCGTCGCAATGGGCTCGGCAGCATAGGCAATCCCAATATTGATTACAACCACAACAGTTTCGGCGGCGGCATTCAGGGTAATTGGCGTTTCTAATTAACACGCTATATGCTCATCCGATTCACAGCAATAAACTGTATATGCATATAACGAATCCGTGGCTATTCGAGAGAGTTTTCTATTTTTAAATCGGTTAATTTCCTCAGATTTTAAAAAGGAAATCTGTTAAGATTATGCTCATAGGTCTTTATGTGGCCCGTGCTCTGATAAGAAACACAGGGATGCATAGGCCATAAAGAATAGAGTATATGTGGAATAGATAAGAGGCAAAAGTCGGTGCTCAATTGAATCATATTTTATTGACTCAGTAGCCCTTTAATTCCACTTATATATCTATATCTATATCTATATCTATTAAAGAATTAATATTGTATGGATATAATATAAGGGTAATATATTTCACAGCATCTTCCATATTACAGACCCGTGGGGCTTATTGATAAGGTCTATATATTTTATGGGGATGAACGGCCTAGGTTAAAAGGTTGGTCACAGAGATATGTTGAATCGAAAGTCCAGTTGTTGTCCGATCGACTATAAAAGCTCCAATTTGAGCTCGAGCTGGACACAGTTGAATTTTTCCAAGCAAAGTATTGTCAGCTCCGACGAAAGATGCCTGCCAACAAGTGCTACATCCTTCTGCTCCTGGCCTGCTGTCTGCTTGCACTCGTTGCTGGCGATGTGGCGGGCAGCCTTTTGCGACGCCAGCGATCTGTGGTTGTAACAGCTGGAAAGGATCAGGCGGGAAGTCCGCTGGGCGTTTACTATAATCCTCTACTTACTAATCGCGATGTCAATCGTGATTTTGTTAACAAACGTAAAGAACACGGCGGAGCCGTTGACGGCAGATGGCCTTATTAATTAAAGGATCTGACAGAATAAATACAATTCTGCATCATAACAATAAATTAGAAATACATATATATATATATATAAAGAAGGCGTGACTGTTTACTTATAATGCCAAAAATCAGCGTCTCATGTGACAGTCTTCAATATTTATAGCTCGACCTATGCTGTAGCTGCACATTTCTTTAAAGCTTCATAAGGAAATCCGTAAAGAATTTGATAAGAAACTCAGGGATGCATAGGCCATAAAGTATAGAGTATATATGGTAGACATATATGATAGATAAGGGGCAAAAGTTGATGCTCAAATGAATCAGATGAATCTTTTGTCTCAGCAGCATTCAATTCGGCTAGAACTCGCTACTGCAAGAGTATTTCGAATAACTACATACAAACGAATATGCTGGGGACATATCCATAAAATGCAGTGGCTATTTACTTAGAGTAGTTGCCAACAGCAACAAAAACAACAGCAATATATACACACACACAAAAAAGGGGAAGCTATAACAAACATAAAAAATGAAAGAACAAAACATTTTGCCTGAGCAAGCAGACATTTTAATTCCCTAAGCAGCAGCAAGCGTTAACTACTTAAGAGTTAAAGAAAGGAATCAACAATAAACCCTTATCACTTGCTTTGCTAACTCCGATCTGGCAACGCTGTAATTTGCTAGCCTCATTAAGTTGGCTGCGCTTGTTGAATTATGTTGTTGTAAATGCCACACACATTTAATATGACAAAAGTTCATGAGGTAGCTGATATGCCCGACAGCTGCTGGCATTTGTAGAATATACGAAGAAGTACTAAAAGTCATGAGTCGTTGGGTTCATTGCACTCCTCGCTGGCGCTGCCGGCGTTGTGTAACCAATAAAAATTGATTCTGTTGCGTGCGGGCGGCAGCGGCTTACAGGGGCGACAGGGGTGACAACAACAATACACTGTGAGAAAGTCTTAATGGCAGTCGCCTGCACTTTTGGGGTTGCATTTGATACATTCGCTTTTAACGACCGTTTCGGGCAGTGCGCGCAATGAGAACTTATCTAGAAAAAAGCATTTAAATGGAGGAGAGGCAGCCGGGGGCAGGCGTCTGCTGTTTGATTGCATGACTAACAGTAATTACTTTCGCTTTCCGTTTGCTCAGCTGGCAAATCGATAAAAAACACAACAACAAAAATTAAAGTCCCATTCAAGAATTTGAGAATTGAAATGCTTGACCCACGCAAATGCACATTTGAGGTAGAAATTCCGTAAATTATTTTTGGGAAAGTGCGCCGGAGACGGCTGAAAGGGAGGGACGGGTTCAGGGGCACTTACGAAAAAGAGGCAGCTGCATGGAAAATGACTTTCCATTTTCATTTAACAATAAGCAATCAATTGCAACAACAACAACAACAACAACAACAACAACATGCTGCAAGTTCAAAGCAAAGCTAACGATCTATTAGAAGAAAGTAAAAACAACTAACAAAACAAAACACAATGAGAAGACAAAAGAGACGCCTCCTACACACACGCCAGGTGAGCAGCTGCCGGGCAGCTGTCAGCTGATGCCAATCAGACAAGGAGAGCGCAACAGAGAGACAGATAGAGAGGGAGAGAGCGAGGGAGAGTGGGAGAGCGAATGGGAAAATCCGTGTGTGCACCGTTAACTGGTTTTCATTTTCGGCTTGGAAAAACCAAACGCTTGTTGCCATTTTTAGTGGCAAAAAGCGGCGACTGCATCATAATGAAAGTGAAATGCATTGCGCAGATGGCAGCGATGGCAGTTACCAGCTACAGATACAGATACAGATACAAATACAGCCGCAGATGCAGATAGAGATACAAATGCGACAGAGAGAAAGAGAGAGACGCACACACACACACACACGTACAGCGGCAAGTAAGTCAAGTGCAGTTGCCGTTTGTTGCAGCATGAATTGCCACACACAACCGCACACACACACACACGCACGCACACACACACAGCTGCAACTGTTTATGGTCAGAAACTTGCGCGGAATGCAAGCGCAAGCGCAGGCGCATCGTCATCGACTGCCGCAGTCGCTGACTTATTTGGCATTTCTCATTTAATTGGCATGAAAAGCGTTTGCCAGGCAATTTGCATACACATTGATGAATTATGTCAACCGAAAGATACAAATGTATCTGCAGTCTTGCTACTGTATCCCATGTAGAAACACTTCAATGTCAGCTCAGCTCCGAAGGCCGCCAGCAGTTTTCTCTGCACTTGAGGTTTTATCTGCCGCTGCCGCATCTTACATACAATGCAAAGATACATTGCGTACTTATTGAGATACATTACATGCAGGCACATGCATTTATGTATCTACATGAATGGAGCTCTGTGTCATGTGGTTCAATAACTCGATGACATTGAGAGCGGACGGCGTGTTACTTCGCATTGCGGTAGGGCCAATGTCGACAAAGTAACTAAAGACAGTTTAAATGCAGACTGATGCACATTTATGCTGCTGCGAATACTTTTCTGTGCCGTGCAACACAATTTTGCAGGCACATTAAGCCAAACGGCTCAACCCACATGTTCTTGGCTTAGAAAGGCTTTTCAACGTGAAGCTTAATTCCAATTTGATACAGTTTTGCGAGTATAAATTTTAGAAACATTGAAACAAACTGACTGATTTGTCTATATATTCACTCGGTTGGGGACACTTGTGAGGAATATATATATATATATATATAATATATAAATCCACTTATAACACCTGACTTTTTGGTGCCATATTTTAATACCCTCTCCAAGGACTTTAAAAGGAAAGAAGTAAATCAAATATTCACGAAGTTGTTCAACACTAACTGCTCGTGATAGTTAGTGTTGAACAACTGAATATTTGATTTACTTATTTCCTTTGGACAGAGTGCCAGAGAGCAACAACAATAGATTTAAAATAATCATGTAACTAAAACATGTCGAGTTTACATCTAATTTAAATTCCTGGAATTTGGCGCCTGCACCTTTCCAAAAAATGTCTTAAAATAAAGGCATTTCTCTGCTCATTTTATTTGTGATCAAGTCACAATAAGTTAACCTCTATTTGTAAGCCAAGTGAATAATGTGCATAGCTAAGCCAACAACAGTGAGAGAACTGCAGCAACAACAACAACATTGCATTGTTGCTGCTGTTGTTGTTGTTGTTGTTGTCGGTTACATTTCACTGATTTTGAAAGTGAACGTTTGCGCAGGCGGAATCGGAATCACGACTCGCAGGCATTGTGGACGGCAGCACAGTGGGGCAAATGCAATGTAAATGTGATTTGTTGTTATCATATTTGCACACAATATTGTTGTTGTTGCGTGTCTGCATCTCTGTTGTTTTTTTTTGTTATTGTTATTGCTGCTGCTGCTGATAAGACATTGGATGCGATTACCAAAACGCAATGCCGAATGCGAATGCACACGAAAAACCCAGCCAAAAACAAGTTGTAACTTGACCCACGTTGTTGTTGTTGTTGTTGCAGTTGTTGTTGTTGTTGTTGTTGTTGTCGAATCAACAGCAGCGTGGGTGAAATCCCAGAGATACATAAATTTTTCGGCGTCGCGTTGCTGCTGTTTTTACTTTTCCAACGCGCCTACAAATGATTTATAATATATTTTTTATATATTTTTTTACTGTGATTTTTTGCAGTTATCTCTTACTAATACCCTGTAAAGTGGGCACGCAAGGTATAACAACTTTATATGCAGCTGAAACGAAAAATCATCCGTTTTGCGTACAACAAATGCTCTTAAAAAATTCTTCAAAAAATATTATGCAGGGCAACTCACGGCTCGAAACTCTCTTGATTTGATTTTGAACATTTGCTTTTTTTTATACAATTTTTGCGCCGATACAGATACAATTTTGGCTTGCATATCTCTTGAGTTACATTTTTGTAGCGTCTGCGTCTGCCGGATAGACAACGACGACGACGATGACGGCGCGACGTCCGTTCGCTGCGTAGGCAGCTGCATCAGGTTGACCCAGTTTTCGCTTTTCATACCCAAGCGGGCAGGCAGGGAGGTTGGCGGAGGCAGGCCCGTCTTTGTGTTGTGCTGGGGAATCGTCTTGTTTGATTTTTGTGAAAATTATACGAAATGCAATTTTTAAGTAGACTTGTTTTATGTGCTCACATTAATTTATGGCATTTGGCCGCTCTGTTCGTAAATCGCACAACAACGCTCAATCAATTTAACACACATTTTGCACCAAAAAAAAAAAGAAAAACCCACCCGCGCATGCCACTTATTCAATTGAATGGCCACGTAACCCGCTGTGGAGCTACAAAATTCCTACTAAACTAGTTTTGCGGCTGCCTTTGAGTGCGTGAGTTCTGGCTGGTCTTGTCTCGTTGACAATTTGCAACAATTTGCATGCCACATTGTTGCACACAAGTTGCCACTTTGAATGAAACCGCAACTAAGCAAACAACAATGAGGCAAATCAAGCGCGTCCAAATGCAATGCGCGTGCACTAAACGGCATGAAAGTGTTTTACTTTTCTGATTATATGCATTATTTGCGAATATATGTGCACTCGCTTACAAATTGTGCACCAGGCCGTGCAGCTTAGCTGCGTACAGCGCGGCGTATACGTGATGTACGCGAATATTGCGCATACGCCAAGTGGGCAAACGTGGCCAAGACGCCCATATAATTACGTCTGATTTATGTGGGGGTGAGGCTGCGGCTTTGAAGGCATATAAATTACAGCCATATGGATATATTTAAATGTTATTTTGTTAAAGAATATATATGTAAAAATACACAAGTACAAATATATATTTATGCGCATTAAATTGCAGCAGCAAAATAACATAGCTGTGTTTTAACATAGCTGAGATTTTAAGCTTAACATAGCATAGCTGAGATTTTAAGCTATATTAATTTGCTGCATTCAATTTATTTTATTGGAATGTATTTGAGCAGGGCTCCCTATTTATAAATACTTACACACACAGACACAAGCAGCACAAGACGTTTGTAGCACTTGTGCCATTTGCATTTAACAATAAATAAACAAACGCAAAATGCAACTGACAGCACTTGAAAATACAAATTGGCCAAGCGGCTATGTGGGTTGTGTGCCGCACACACTCACACTCACATACACACACACACGCTGACACGCCGCCAAGGTAGGCTCGTCCATAAGCAGGCAAAGTCAATGCACTTTTCACACACATGCAATTGGCGAGCCTGTTGCCTGTCCATGTGCGTGTTTAAGTTTTGCAATATTTTCATTTTCATTTCGAATTTTAATTTCATTTTCATTTCGCTGCCGCGCACTCTCTCAATGCGTCAACGTCGCCGTCACCGTCGCTGTCGCTGTCGGCGCCAGCGTCACGCTGCGCTGCTTTTGAGTCTATGCTCAGCAGAGCGACTGCTGCAGCTGCCGCTGCTGCATTTTGCTGATCAATTTCACTTTCACTAATTATGTCACAATAAAAGCAAATGGCCAAGCGCCTTAATGATCATTAAGACTTAGTGAGTGCACATCAGCTCTTAATTATGAGCCCCTCCTCTCTGCTAGCCCACCTGCTCTGTTAGCTGGCTATGTCTAGACAATTGTCTGGCATTTTTTATTTTTGGCCATTGCGCAATATTCTTTGTATTTTGTATTGTGTATCATGTAATGCGACGCCCTCTTTTTCGTGTGTGTGTGTGTGAGAGAGAGATAGCGCAGCTCTGAACTTTAGGGGTTGAAATATTTTGTAGGGCGTTTACCGTTTTATTGCGTCGTTAGCTTTTCGGCGCACTATTTATTTTGTTGTCGTAGGTCCCCGGTCCCCAGCCAAACAGACATAGCTTAAATAACGCAGTCGCGGCAAAAGCTATGCAAAGCTTATCAACGTCTTATACATATGTGTGCATGCATTTGTATGTCACTTTTACAATTAAACACCAAATCTTTGATTATTTTTCTTTTGTAAGTTAGAAATAAAAGTCTACTACTATTTATGTTATTGCAATGTTAACAGCCCAAAAGTGCAGCAGAAAGTGCAAGTTACCGACTGCGCTGCTCTCAGTGACTGCGCTGGAGCTTTTTTTCTGATTTCTTATGCTCGCGCTCTCTGTGCTGTCACGCTCGCTCTCTCGCTCTCGCTCTGGCAAAATTATTGGAATTGCACAAAGAAAAGTGAATCGTTGAGCGGGAAGCTCCCCGCTGCACAGATGCTTTTGCATTTGTGTGCGTGCGCTGCACTGCACAGCGATTGTGTAAGTTTTTACATTGGGGCAGCTGCAGCTACAGCAGCGGCTGCGGCTGAAACTGAAATTGAGACTGAGATTAACTCAAAAACTTGTTTTATGCTACTTGTTATTGTTGTTGTTATTGTTATTGTTGTTGATGCAACGCTTGGCAACACTAGCCTGGGTCGACGGCTGCTGGGTAGCTGGCTGGAGGGGGGGCACGGCAGGACCACCCCTAGCAACGATTTACGACCAGAGTAATTAGAGCAGTTGACGTCGCCGCTGGCGTTGGCGTCGCTGTGGCAGCGCTGCAGCTTTAACTGCATGCTAAGCTTTGGCAGCGAGTGCAGCGTTGCATTTATGTGTCTCTCTCTCTCTCTCGGCGTGTGAGTGTGTGTTTGTGTGTATGAGTGTATATGTGTTTCTGTGTGTGACTGACCTATCTCAATGCAATGCGAGTTGAGCTGTTGCTTTTGTTACACACACACACACACACACACACAAACACACACACATATGGCAGAGCGAACGAAACAAACGAACAGACATTTGCGCTCATTTATCTTTTATTTTTATATACAGTTGATTGCCGTTGTTGTTGTTGTTGTAGTTGCAGTTGTGTAGTTGTTGTTGTCGTCATTTGTAGTTGCTGCTGGCGTGCAGCCATTGTCGCTGCTCGTTCACATCGATTTCAGTTGTTTTTGTTGTTGTTGTTGTTTTTGTTGTGATTGTTGCTGTAGACAGCATTTGCATTCATTGTACACTTTGCCCCCATGTAATGCGTTTTTTATTGCATATTATTTTTTGTTGCAATGCAAAAAATTGTTTAAATGCTCGTTCATAAATTGTTTTCACACGCAACCCAGCGACAAACTAGTTTTGCTGATCAGCTCAAGTTGCTGTTAATGTTGCTGTTGCTGTTGTTGTTGCTGTTGTTGTTGTTGTTCTAGTTGTTGTTGCTGCTGTTGCTGTTGCTGCTCTCATTCTTGCTGGCGTTGTTTTATGGCTGTTAATCACTTCTGCTATAATTATTATGAGCCAACTAAACGTGCAGTCTGTAATGGTTGTTGCTGTTGTTATTGTTTTTATGGCAAGCATTTTGCATTTAAATTACTCTGCAAAAAAAAAAACAACCATTCAATTAAGATTGCCAAGTTTTACATAAAAAAACCCTAATTCCTTACACAGCCAAGTTTTTTAAAAATTGTTTTTACTTTAACAATTATTTATGTATTTAAAAATGTATAATTAAGTATTTCTCCTGGATTTTCTTATAAAAAACATCTACCTGAAAATTGTATGCATATAAGTATATAAAATTTAATACAAGATAAAAATGCACATACACATAATATACATCTATTTATTACTTTAGCAGTTAGTCAATCTTTATTTATAAACATTACTAACTTCTATTATTTCTCAATTATTTTGCAGTTACCAGTCCGAAGCCAACTTCAACTAAAGTAAACAATAAGTAAGTAAATGACTTTTTAAATCGACTACAAAAAGAAAACCGAGTAAGCATCCGTGTATTGGGCCCAGCCTTAAATAAACACTTAATTTCAAATGTAACGCCAGAAAAAAGCCACTTGGCGCTTAGTAAAAATTCACAAAAGACACGCAAGAGCACAAAAACAAAAAAGCAAATACCCACAAAATAAGAAATGACAAAAAAAATGATGCACAGAATTTTAAACAATTGAAAATATTGTTAAAAGAGTGGATAGGGGAAAGAAGGGGATGGGGGAGAGAGGGGAGGGGGGCAGTCAAAAAGTGCGGCGCAAAAAACCGCTAAGTACTTTCATAAACAAATAATGATGAATAAGAGACCTCGAGCAGAACCTGTGACTAGAGAGCCCAACCGAACAAACCCCAGGCCCATGCCCATGCCTCTCTGGGCAACCACTTGACACTTTGAGTATAGCTCCCAGATACAAATAGAACTCATAGAACGTTGGGCATGACGCATGAGTCAGGGCATGCGAGGGGTCTGTGTGTATCCGATCATAATTGGGCGTTAATTGCAAAAATCAATGCACATCATACACTACAAATTTACGAGTATTTTTGCTAAATTGGCCGCAGCAGCCAAAATCCAAAAAGAAATCAACGTCAACTGCAAAACAATTTATAAGACTTCAATTAGCGTTATAACGGTACCGCGGCCAGAACATTTAAGGCAACTTAACACCTCAGCGCACCTTGTTGCCAGCAGCGGCAGCAGCAGCAGCGGCAGCAGCAGCAGCCAGTGGACCTGTCCGGGCCAGGACCTGCACAAAAAGCCGCTTAAATCAGCAGCTCAATCAATCAGACGAAAGGTTCTGTTTAAATTAAGAACAAATATTTTCGTACCTTTATTTTTTCATCTTATTTATTTATTTTTATAAATGGCAGCCGCAACGCACACTTGACGTTGACAACGATGACTCCTTCTGCGCAGCACAGTGGGGCAATGCTCATGTAAAATGGGTCGAAATATTACAAATAACATTTAATGGCAAAAGGGGTTTGTTCAGCTTCGGGCAACCCAAATTTTATCTTTGTTAGTTTATTGGAAGTTACTTTCAAAGATTTCATTGTTTTTTCAAGTCAAATTAATTCTCTCTCTCTTTTCTGGACCATTCCCTTTCGTATAATTAATTGCGCACTATTCAGCTGAAAATATTTCGAGTCGTATAATATGTTCACAAAAAGTGCGCTAGATTTATGTTCTACCCAAAATTGTCACCTAATAAAATATGTTGGCACCAAATTAAATGATGCTCGCATTTTGATTCAGTTGTCTTTAAAAAAATTGCTTGACCTAGTTTTTGGCTTATTATTTAGTATAAATTTAAACTCTAATATGATTCTTTATTAAACAAAAGTTAACGAGCTAGTATTTCAAGCTTATACTGACATAAAGTGACATAGAATTCTACAAATTTGAGTAACACAAATAAAGTACATTTTTAAAGCAATTTTGCCACACTGTGCGCCGAAATGACAAATGTAAATTGTGGCGGGAAAGCAAAAGGCAATCGCTTGCATTTATTTTACCCTTTTTTTCTTAGAGGGTATCATAAGTTTGTCATGAGATGTTTAACGCATAGAAGGAGTCAACTTCGATCTCAAAAAGTATATATATTCTAGATCAGCATCGAAAAGGGAAGGTTATTGTATGGCAAATTATTCTGTTCTTCAAGATATTTTCATCAAACTCAGCATTTGCTAGCTTCGCTCTTCTCACGTGTCTAAAAGGGTATTCAAATTTCGGCTTGCCGGCGACATCCTTACTTTCTCGTTCATACCAATTTTTGTCGGCAATATGCTTAAATAAATTTGAACATCTTCTTCTTCTGCTGCTGCTGTTGCTGCTGTTGCTGCTGCTGCTGGTTCTTTTGGGCTGCCGCAGCGCACGTCAGCGCCGAGCTGTGATCTGCGCGGCAGATACGGAAAACCAAATTGGAACGCTTCAGTTGGCCAGGACGGGCCGGGTTTGTGCCGGGCCAGCTCCCGACTTAATGCAGCCCTCTTAAAATGCATTTTTGATTGCATTTCATTAGGTTCGTTCTTTTTTGTTGTGTCTTTATTTATTTTTATTTTTTATGTTTTGTTGTGTTTTTTTTTTCTTTTGCTTTGTTTTTTTTTTTTTTGGCAGGTTTTTGCGGCTGTCGCTTCGCTCGTTGCGGGCATTTCAAAAATTTATGCTCACTTCGCTGCCATTTTGAGGTTGTTAATTTTTTGTACGTTTTTTCGTACTTGTTTTTTTTTTTTAACTTTATTTTTTGTTTTTTTTTTTGCATTTTGTAATATTTGTTTTTGGCTTTCGTTTCTGCTGCTGTTCTTTTGCCGCATTTCTTGGCATTTTTAACAAGCGCCGTCAAAAAGGAAGTTTGTTTTTTCTCCACTCCTCCGTTTTTATTGTTTTTTTTTTTTTTTTTTGTTAAAAAGAAAAGCAAGCGCTGCGCACAAAATAAATAAAATATATAAACTAAAAGCCATGTGCAAAAACGTTTCAACATTTTGTATACCTTATGGATAACGCTGGGCTTTTGTGTACCCTACGAAGCGAGCATATCAGGTGTGGCATGTGCTTGGCCACGTGACGCTTTGAATTCGATGTGAAATTATTTTCACGCGGGAGAAATGGGTGGAAGTGCGTAGAAATAGTCGATAAATGCCCGCTAGCCTAATTCAAATTATTCCCTATCAGCTTTTATTTGTTTTAATATTATTTAATTAAATAATAAGAACTTGTTTTCAACTGGAACTCAAATAAATATACCAAATATTCCCATAATTATTTAAATTTATATTATTTTTGACAGTGCATAAAAAAGTTCGTTAAAATGTGTAATTATACTGCTGCATGTTTATTTTGTTGTTTCGATTGTTGTTTCATTTGTTGTTGTTTTTTTTTTTTTTTTGGGGTTCTTGTTGCCGCACCTTTTGTCATCGCGCCATGAATCATGTATACATATGTAAATACCAGATGGACAGACCATATAGAAACACGCGTGTTCCACTTTAAAGCCCAAATGTACATATACGTAGGTCTCCGATAATCGGCAGCGTAATCGTGATCGCACACACATTGCCAAACTGCTCGAGTATAATAATTTGTTTATAAGCCGCATTTTCTGATTTTGGACACATAATCGCCGCACTTTCATGTTTCGCCATAATAGGATTACAAATAAAAATCATAATTTAAACAAAAATTAATGACAATCACAAAAGTCGACACAAAAAACTGCAATGAATCACGTTTGCCTCCGCGGGCAACGAGAAATAGAATTAAATCGCACGCAGCTCGGTTAATTTGTTGGCACTTTCCGCTTAAAAATCGCAGCTACAATTAGGCTGAGATACATATTAAACTAATTAATATTAATAATACGCCCGAGATACACACACACACATATCTGTATGTAAATGTGGTAAACAAATTTCTTGGATACTATTTGTTATTCGCTCCGTTTGGCTGTCTAAAGTTTTGTTTAAAAAGAAATTAAGAAAAAATAAGCGAAAACAAATTCGCAACAAAATAAATTTGTTTTTTGTTGTGTATTGAATTGGTTTTATTTTCGATTTTCAGTTTTCAGTGTGAAGGTCAAAGTCAATGCGACAAAGCACCCGAAACTTAAATCAACAAATAAAATAAAAATAATCAACTGACGATTTCGATAGCTGCTCAAATTGCGTGCATGAGCCGAGAATGTGACGCATTCGCTAGATACTTTATCCGATGATTCAGTTATTGTTTTTATATATTATATATACCACTTGCTAAGCGACTGCTTCGAGCTGAGCTCAATTTTATGTGCAAAACAACAAACCGAACTGTAAATGTGAATTTTGCTCATGCCTCGAATTTTTTTATCCCTTAGATATTGCAAGCATCTGAGGTTTATTTATTTCTGAACTTAAAAGCAGCTTGCGTTCATATCACGAGCCTTATAAACGTCTTCTCTTACTTTCTCTGGACCCACTCGAAAGTTCCATTCCAAGATTTTCAAATAATTCATTCTCTGCCTAGAAATCTGATAAGCTTAAGCTTATTTCTATGTATATATTTATATAAATAAATGTTATGTTTATTTTCTTTTCTTTTTTGCCGGAAATCAACGGCTTTTTCCTGTTAACTAATTTCTTGAAATAGACAACTTTTGTGTTTTTAAATATATGAATGTTGCTCTTTACTTTTTGTTTATTATTTATTATTCACCATTAGCTCATTGTAAATAGACAGAAAGTTGGTGAACTTCTTGACTGATAAATGGCCACATAAAGCAAGAGTTTCAGACAAGTTCTAAATTATTTCTATGCTAAAAGTGAAATGTGGCCAAACCGCTTTTTTTTCTTCTGTTGTTGTTGTTGTTGTTGTTGTTGTTGTTGTTAGCTCATTATGAAGATGCCCAGCATGATAATGGCCGGGACTGGGCAATCTTGCCACCAGCAACAACTGCAACAACTCTACGTCTGCCCGACTGTTACCCCCGCTTTTCGCCTGTAATCTTTCATCAGCAACTGTTGTGGCCATTTCTTGTGCTAGTCTGCAATTTACTTTCAATGCTGCTTCTAAGCCTTGTTGTTGTGGCTTTCTTCTGTGGCACTTGTTGCTGTTGTTGCTGTCAGCGTTTAGTCAACAGTTGGCCATGTTGCCTGTGTGTCTGGTTTGTTGCATGTTGGCATGCAGCAGCAGCAGCAGCAACATCAGCAGTAGCAGCAGCAGCAGCTGCAACAGCAACTGAGCAACTTGGCATGCAATTTGCAATAGTTGCGCTTGCGCAATTCAAATGCACACACACACACATACACAGACACACCTGAGCCAAACAAGATCGCGTAATAACTTAGTCAGCCACAACAGCACGAGAGGCAGCCGCAGCAGTTACGTCGCCTTTGTCGACTTGGCCAAGACGGAAGACGGAAGATGTGGCAACCACTTGCCTGGCCCGGCCTGGCCTGGCCTGGCCGAAAAACCGGAAAAACGACACGCACTGAGCGATGCTCTCCGACTCCGTCTTCGTCTCCAACTCCGTCTCCGCCTCCCACAATGAGAGCTTCCCAGCGTTTAACTTCCTGTCTATGTCTCGATTCTGAGCATTGATAACTTTTGGTTTTTGTCAATATTTATTACCAGCTAACTGTGTGTGTGTGTGTGTGTGTGTGCGAGTGTGCGTGTGTGTGTGGCTCAATTGAAATGGAAACCTAGTTGGGATCTGTGGCTAGTTTCGTAAACGCTTTAATTGCATTTATTATGATTGACGCTGACAAATCAGCAAAAGTTCAAACAAAAGCAATCTCTTCAAGTGTCAGTTTATGTAAGCAACAAATTGAGAAACAATTAACGATCTATTAAACCAAATTTAAAACAATATCAATAGACACACACACACACACTCTCACGCGCACACACACAAAGTAGAAGAAGTGCAAAAGGCAAGCGAAGCGCGCTCGGGTTCAATGTGCTTTACCTGTCCTCGGTGGTCAGGTACTTGGGCAGCATTCTCTCTCTCGCTCTTAACTCTAGAACTGGTAACTGGGCAGCTAACCAGTCAAGTCGCCAGCCCTTGGCCAAGTGCATAGGCCAAGTAGCATTGGGTATCTGCTTTGCATGCATTGCCAGCAGCAGCTGCAAAGACGGCAACGAATGGGGCATTCGTATCTCTAAATGTTTTGCTATCAAGTGTAATCAACATATTTACTAGTTATTGCCAGTTATTTTCAGCTTAAATCAGTCGCAAATAAACATCAAATATGCACCATGATCTACGGCATAATCTAAACAGTTTTCGTTTCGAATTCCCAAACGGTTTAAGCGCGCATTTCATTAAATCAGCTTTTGCACCGCGCCTCCGCTGACTAACGGTTTAACATATTCCAGCTTAGTTTGTTTCTTATTTATTTCTTTTCAGCTTCAGCTTATTATGCAAAAATCAACTTTGCAAAAATCATTTGCTAACTAATTAGTTAATTTACAAATTCAGCACATTTCAAAGGAAATTTTTTCGCAAAACCAAACAATTGGCGTGAAATGCGCAATAAATTTAAGCACATAACAAATGAACGACTCAGCATATACCCTATACTTGCTATAGAGATAACGAATTAGACCATAATGAGTTTTATGTATATATAGTATATACACCCAAAAAAAAAAGTGAGTTAATTCTATATATTTGTTAGCTATACTAGATGCAATACACATTTGTTATTGCATTTCGCCTGTTGCCGTCTCGTTCGCACACACACGTAGCAAATTTCACTTTCATTATCAGCTCAGTTATTTTGATAAGATTTCCCGACTGCAGCCACTGCGTTTGCAGTTGAGCAGAGAGAGTGAGAGAAATAGAGAGACAGATAGAGAGGACAGAGGACTTTTATTGTGTCATAGCTTTTTATATAGAACTTAAGACTTTTTCGTGTACTATATAGCATGCCGCATGGAAGTGCCGCGCAATAAAAAGTTGAGACTCTCTGAAGGAAAAGAGACCAACAACAAAAACAAGAACAAAAAAATAAAACCAAAAATAAAATGAGTACAAAACTGCGAATATTTTGGCTGGCATTGAAATTGTTGACAGCAACAACAACAAAAACAAAAAACAATAAGAACAAAGCTAGAGATACGAGCCGAATGGGATTTGGACAAACTGTTTTAATATTTACTTTTTTCTATGTTTTTCTGTGCACTTTCTAAAGCACACATTATATTTGTGAGATCATCTTTTACAAATGCAAATCCTATGAACTTTGATCTATTTAATCTCTTGTAATGCAAAGCTAGTTTTACTTGATCTCCTCTTTATATAATGTACAACTCGATCTATTTAATCCTCTGCTTATACCCTGAACCCTTTGAAAATTGTTAAAAGGGGATATAATGTATTTTTTACAAAGTAAAACTTGTTCTATTTGATCTCCTGTTCTTGTAATGGGAGTCTTGATCTATTTAATCTTCATTTTATATAGAATGGGACTTCCTTTATTTTATTCCCTTTTCTATAATATAAAACTTTATCTATTTAATCTCTTGTAATGTCAAACTGAATCCGGAACCTAGGTAAAAAAATTAATCTAATAAATCTCATGTTTTTCTAATAATGCAAAGCTTGATCTGTTTAATCTCTTGTTTTTCTTATGTAAAACAGCACAGCTGCCTTTTTATTTAATTATTCATTTTATGACGCAAAGCACAACTAAAAGCTGCAATATATATTTACGATTAAGTCTGTTCTCAATGAAATAAAATCTTTAATACTTATTTAGTACAATCCCAATATGAGTTTAGAGTTTGGCAGTTTTGAATTTGTTCAACATTTTAATGCATTGCTGCAACTTTAACAAAAAAGGAATTCCCGTTCTTTTAAACCATATTTTATTTATAGATCTCACACACAAAAAACATCTAATCAATTAACCTTGAACAGCTATCAATTCAATAAAAAAAGTAGAAAAGAAAAAGTTATTGCCAAAAAAAAAAAAAAAGAAATGCCTGCAACGTTCACTTTTTATTATTTTTTGATAGCTGCTAAACGATGTGCGCGCATATGTGCATATAAGTATCTGTATCCGTATCTGTAGCTGTAGCTGTAGCTGTATCTGTATCTGTAGGCTGCGTTTTGCTGACACTATATCTGTGTGTGTGTGTGTGTGTGTGTGTGCTTGAGCTGATAAGCGGCTGCTGCTGCTGCTGCTGCCTTCCAGTATTTACTTTGTACGCGCTTTTAATTGGTTTTTTGTGCTACATTTTTTCTTCTGTCCACTTTTTTTTTATATTGCGCTTTTTGCAGTCTGCGTTTCAATTTGTGCGCTCAGTTTGATTTTTCCTGTTCGCAGACAACGTGCGCAGTTGTTTATTAAAAAATTAAAAAATACATTAACCAACACATTTAAAGTCAAGCCAAATATGTGTGTAAATGCGGCTCTTTAGCAAACAAATACAATTTCTATAAATAGTCCAAATCGTGAAAGATGTGTATTTATATGTAAAAGATTTTTGTAAATATTTTGTTGCCTATCCAAAAGGCGCGCATGCGTTATGCAAAAACGAGCGCCCTTCTCTGCAATTCTCATAGATTCATCTACAGATTTTAATACAATTTCATCAGATTTACATTTAAAGCTTTCCTGTTTATTGCTTTTAAATGGGTACATATAAATTCTTTATTTATTTATAAAATATAATGTATTAATATGCCATATTTTTTTTAACTTTTCTCCTACGTTCAGATAACACTGCCATATTGCAACACAGAAGTAACTGACTAAAAACAAAGCGATTAACAACCAAAACTACCTCGTTGCTGGCCAGGCACAACAAACAAGCGCACACCTACACACACACACACACAACGAAACTGATTGCTGTTTGGCCAAGAAGAAAGCGAAGGCTGCGCCGCAATTGAAAGTTAAAGCATTGCCCATGTAGCTGCCCCAACTCTAGTAAAATGGAACAACAAATATCCAAGGAGCACTAAGAACAAGCAGACGGAGCAGCAGCAGCAGAAGAAGAAGCAGCACAAGGAGAGCAAAACAGAAGCAGCAGCAGACGCAACAGCCAGCGGGCAGACATTACGTATACGCAACGTGCAGCATGATGAAGAGCCAAAGCGATGTTGAGGCGCCGCCAACAGCTGCAGCAGGAAATGGTCAACAGAAGCCAACGAATGGCCACAGCAATGGAAATGGGAATGGCAATGGCAATGGCTATCATCAGAATGGAGGCGGTAGGCGTGACTCGACGCAGGCGTTCACGCCGCTGCTGGCGCAGCACAATAGCACGATTGTTGAAGCGGCAACGCCAGCCGCCACGCCCACTACAATGCTATACGAGAGCACGCCGAGCAACAACAACGAGTGGAAGGCATCGGAGGACATTAACAATTTGAAGAACGGGCTGCTAAGCAATAACAACGGGAACGGGCACAACGGGCACAGTCTGCGCGAAAAGTATGCGCACGAGCAAGCGCCGTTGACCGGCGGCTACAAGCTGCCCGGCGGCGGCGTAGTTGGAGGTGGCGGTGGTGGTGTTGGAGGTGCACGTGCACATGGCAGCGAATCGGAGGAATCGGATTTCGATTCGGATTTGAATGGCGGCGGCGACGAGGGCTCCAATTGCGGGCTTTTTGGCTGCCGGCCACGTTGGGCGCGTCGATTTGCGTCGACGCACGTGTTCATGGTGGTGTTCCTGCTGGCGTACATTTTGCAGGGCATGTACATGACGTACTTTGTGTCTGTGATCACCACCATTGAGAAGCTCTTTCAGATCAAGTCCAAGACGACGGGCTTTCTGTTAAGCGCCAGCGAGATGGGCCAAATCAGCACCGCGATGCTGCTCACATATTTTGCCGGGCGTGGCCATCGTCCCAGATGGATCGCCTGCGGCATGGTGCTCTTCTCTATTGCGGCCTTCGCCTGCGCCCTGCCGCACTTCATCTTCGGCGAGCAGCTGATGCAGTCCAGCGTTTTCCTCCAGCCGCAATCGCCCGCCCCGTCATCGTCCGCGTCCGCTTCGTCGCACAATCTGTGGAGCAATGCCACAGATCCGAATCTCTGCGTGCTTGGCGGCAACGGCACACTGGCAGGCAGCGAGTGCAACGAACAGCGCCAACTGGAGCAGGCCTCACACTCCAAGATCACGGTCATTGTGCTGTGCATCTTTTTCGGCAGCCTGCTCAGCTCGGGCATTGGCCAGACCGCGGTGGCCACCCTGGGCATACCCTACATCGACGACAATGTGGGCAGCAAACAGTCGCCCATGTACATGGCGGTCACTATTGGCATGCGCATCCTGGGCCCCGCTTCGGGCTTTATTGTGGGCAGCTTCTGTACGCGCTGGTATGTCAATTTCGCCAATCCCGGCTTTGATGCTAGCGATCCGCGCTGGATTGGCGCCTGGTGGCTGGGACCCGTCGCCATTGGCAGCCTTATGCTGCTCGCCTCCATTGCCATGTTCTCGTTTCCCAAGCAGCTGCGCGGCAAGCAGCAGGCTCAGGCACAGGCAACAGGTGCTGTCGGAGCATCCGCACCAGAGCTGGAGGAGAAGCCCAAGCTGAAGGGTGAGCAGCAGCAGCAGGGGCCACAATTTCGAAGAGCCTTTCTATTAACAGATTTCCATGTTTAGATTTCCCGAAGACCGTGCGCCGCCAGCTGAGCAACGATATACTCATGTTCCGCACGGCGTCGTGCGTGTTTCATTTGCTGCCCATCGCCGGGCTGTACACGTTCCTGCCCAAATATCTGGAGACACAGTTCCGGCTGGCCACCTACGATGCGAACATGATAGCCGCCTTTTGCGGCATCCTGGTTATGGGCATTGGCATTGTAATCTCAGGTCTATTCATATTGAAGCGCAAGCCAACAGCCAGGGGCGTCGCCGCCTGGATAGCATTTACCGCGCTCGTCTATTCCGCCGGAATGATTATACTCATGTTCATTGGCTGCAGCACCAACGACTTTGCCGGCTACAAGGCCGGCGATGCCAACAGGTGAATGCAGCTCAACTAACTGCGAATTTTATTCTAAATGTTTCTTCTACTCTTTGCAGCCCGGCCATGATAGAGCCCGCCTGCAGCGCCGTGCTCAACTGTACCTGTGATAAGGAGAATTTTGCGCCCATTTGCGGCACCGATGGCAAAATGTACATCTCGGCCTGCCATGCCGGCTGCAGCAGCTCCACGCTGCGCGCCAGCGACAATCGCACACTCTACTCCGACTGTGCCTGCATTCCACATGGTAAATCTTAATATCCGCCAATTGGAGCTGGGTATCCACTCTCATCTTATGTCCATTTCAGTCGCCGAGGCAGTCAATGGTTACTGTGATAATAACTGCAAGAACTTCATCTACTTTATACTGATTTTTGCCATTTGCGTATTTATGCATTCCACCTCCGAGGTGGGCAGCATGCTGCTCGTTATGCGCTGCACACATCCTAAAGGTGAGTCAATAAAACCTGCAGAGAATTACCAACTGATATACACTTTCATACCAGATAAAGCTATGGCTATGGGCGTCATTCAGTCGGCCATCGGCCTGTTTGGTAATGTTCCTTGTCCAATCATCTATGGTGCCGTGGTGGACTCGGCCTGTCTCATCTGGAAGTCGGTTTGCGGCAAGCATGGCGCCTGTTCGCTCTACGATGCGGATACCTTTAGGCAATATTTTCTGGGTAAGCTACCATTACTTTCTGGAACAGAAGCTGCACGAACTAATCTTCTCTCTCTCTATCTCTCTCCAAATTGCAGGCATTACGGCTGGCATTATGTTTCTGGCGTTTCTCATGGATCTGGTTGTCTGGCGGAAGGCGCATCGCATCGATATTGCGCCCGATCAGCCGGAAGGTGCGGCGCATGCGCCGGCCACGCGCTTGGATCTGTCCGAGTCCAAGCAGCCCATTGCGCCGCCTCCGGATACGACGGTCTAAGCGCGACGAGAGAAAGCTAATCCGCAGCAAAAGAAAACAAAAACAAAAACACACATTGCAAGATTTCCAATAAATGTTTACCTTAATTGTTAATTAGTTATCATTTTGTCTAGTTTTTTAGCCCTAGTGCAAGAGTTATGTATTTAGTTAAGCGGTCTTTTCTGGACTCCGGAAAACCTCAATTAAAATTTATAAAGCGCTCATATATAAAATACGTACGTACAATGCTTATATACATACATACATATATAACATATATAATTAAATTCTTCGTGTAAATCTCAACGTTATAGAAATATAGAAATTGTCTAACTACATCTGTAGAATTACATATTATATAGTAATTTTACAGTTCACATATGCGACCATAATACACAAGTTAATGTACTTTGTAACAAGAGCAAAACATTTATTATATACACACAACAATACGAAATCTACATAACTTTATATATGTTTTATGTATGCATCTATATATACATATACATATATATATATATATATGTGTATAATATATAATTGCAACCTATCTGTGGTAGTTAAATTTTAGTTAAAATTCAAAATAAATGTCTAAGCTTGTCATATAAAAGAAATACGAAAAGAAATTAATGGAAATATAAATTATGCTTAAAGAGTAACGACACGATTGTTAATTTAATATTGAATTGTAAGTAAAATATTTAATTATATTCTAATCTTCATTAATGTATGTGATTATGTGTATGTAAATATGTGCGCTTGCATGTACTCGTGCATGTGTATATATGTATACATTATGTATGTATGCATATCTGTATGTTTGCCTGTATGTCCGGATGTATGCATTTATGTAATGGCTTTTTAGCATATGCAAGACAGTTTTTCTTCCCGCTCAGCTTATTTGAATTTGTAATTCTGTTAAGCCTATCGATAATAAAACATATCGATAGCTTGTGCAAAAACTTAACAGACAATAGCCAGTCGTTTAACATAACAGCTCGCCAGCACAGCAGTCAGCTGTTAAACATAAAAGCTTCATTTGTGTATAAAATAGAGTGTACAAGTTCATTTGTAAGCTAGTGCTTTGTTTATAAACTTACATTTTATTGTTATAAAACAGCTGAAAAACGAAACCTTTAGAAACTATCCGCTTTGGCAAGAACTGCATTGGAATAATGAGCATACCACTGAAGCACTTCAAGAAAGGTAAGTTGCGGCATCAATGTCACCCAGAAGACCTTGAAAAGCAGCCGGGAACACGTTTTAGCCGATATCACATGAGAGATTAGACAGATAAATAAGTAGTGCGCTGCTATTCCACTGACGTCGCAGCCAACTCATTGCTCTGCCCTGCTCTGTGCATGCGTCATCAACAGGTACACCCAAGCCAAAGCTGCCAGAGGATGGAGTCTTGCGTCTCTATCTCATGCGCTTCTGTCCGTACTCGGAACGCGCTGCCTTGGTTCTGGCTGCCAAGCAGATTCCACATCACAAAATCTATATTGATCTGAGCGAGAAGCCCGAGTGGTATACCGATTACAGCCCCCTGGGCAAAGTGCCAGCCATTCAGCTGACCGCCGTGGATGGCCAGCCGGCGCTGGTGGAGTCGCTTGTCATAGCCGAGTATCTGGATGAGCAGTACCCAGGGCGCTCGCTGTTTCCCGCAGATCCCTTGCAAAAGGCCCAGGACAAAATACTGATTGAGCGTCTGGCACCAGCCGTAAGCGCTGTGTATCCTGTTCTGTTCACCAAGAACCCGCCAGCCGACGCGCTGCCAAACTTCGAGCAGGCCTTGGATGTGTTCGAGCAGGAGCTAACCAAACGTGGCACACCCTATTTCGGTGGCCAGCAGATTGGCATGGTGGACTACATGATCTGGCCCTGGTTCGAGCGCTTCCCAGCCCTCAAATTCGTACACGCCGATAAATACGAACTGGATAAAACGCGCTATGCTAAGCTGCTGCGGTGGGTCGAGCTGGTGGCTCAGGATGAGGCAATCAAGCAAACGGCGCTGGACAGCCAGGTGCATGCCAAATTCATGGCCACGCGACAGGCTGGAGAGCCCAACTACGATGTGGCTTTCGAGGCCGTCTAGAGGGCAATCTCTTGTTGGAATTATACAGGCTAGATAATAAATCCCAATTGATATTAGATCGGAACTTCTTATAGATCTTGTGTGCCTAACAAATAATTATATACTCGCTTCCCCTGCAGGCTCTGCCAAGCCGGAGCTGCCCGAGGATGGCCTTTTGCGTCTCTACTGCATGCACTTCTGCCCCTTCTCGCAACGTGTGCGTCTTATGCTGGATGCCAAGCAAATACCCCATCATAGGATCTACATTGATCTGATCGACAAGCCGGAATGGTATCGGGAATACAGCCCGTTGGGCAAAGTGCCCGCCTTGCAGCTAACCCATGTGGCGGGTCAGCCAACGCTTGTGGAGTCTCTCATCATTGCCGCGTATTTGAATGAGCAATATCCGCAGCGACCGCTCTATCCCATTGATCCGCTGCAAAAAGCACTCGACAAGATTCTAATTGAACGCTTTGTGCCCGTCGTGAGTGCCGTCTATCCGGTGCTGACCTGCAACAAGAATGCACCGCCGGACGCGCTGGAGAATTTTGAGTCTGCGCTGGATGTCTTCGAGCAGGAGCTAACTAAGCGCGGCACGCCCTATTTTGGTGGCCAGAAAATTGGCATTGTGGACTACATGATCTGGCCGTGGCTCGAGCGCATACCCAGCCTCAAATACACCACCGAGCAGCACTACGAGCTAAATGGCCAGCGCTATGAACAGCTGGTAAGTGGCTGTCGAGATGTCTTCCAATCTAATGCTAATCCGCTGCCTAAACTTCAGCTTAAATGGTGTCAATTGCTGGCCCAGGATCCGGTTGTTAAGCTAAGTGCGCTGGATGCCCAGCTGCATGCCAAGTTCCAGCAGTCGAAGCGGCTGGGCAAGCCCCAATATGATGTCGGCTTTGAGGATTAGCTCAAGCAATTTATTGACGCTTTAAATTCGAATAAAGCTGCAGGCGCTGCTCAGGCATCCTTCACCAGAAGATTATAATTGGGTTTACCAGCGCTGCGCGTACGCAAGAATTCCGCCTGCACCTCAGCTTCCATATAGAATGCCATCACTGCGGGATCACGTTTCATGCGCTCCAGCCACTGCGTCTGTAAAGGATTTACAGGCATCAGTTTGCAGGCGTTGGAGTTATGACTGACTCAAGGACTCACCAGCTGTGGAAAGCGCTGCTCATCGTAGTTGTAGTCATCGCCGCGCTGCAGCTGAAGCAGCTCCAGACGCTCGCACCAGGGCCAAATCATGTAATCCAATATACCAGTTTGTTCGCCGCCAAAGAAGGGCGTGCCACGCCTGCTCAACTCCTGCTCATACTTGTCCAGGCCGCACCAGAAGGGCTCCAGCTCACCGCCATCGGATGCCTTGAAGAAGGCGCCCAGCACGGCTCCAAAGCGCTCAATGAGCAGCTTCTCCTGCACCTTTTTAAGCGGATCACGCGGATAGAGCGGACGCAGTGGATACTGCTCGTCGAGGTACTCGCAGATGAGCAACGATTCGGTCAGCACGGGCGGGCCAGGCTCACGCACCAGCTCCAGCGCCGGCACCTTGCCCAACGGATTCTTTTCAAAGAGCCAGTCTGGTTTCTCTGTGAGATTTATGTAGATGCTGTGATAGGGTATCTGTTTGGCGTCCAGCACCAGATGCACACGCTGCGCAAACGGACAGAAGCGCATGGAGTACAAACGCAAAATGCCATCCTCGGGCACATCGGGCGTCGCTGAGCCTGTCGAGTGGACGCCGTGAGCAGTTTTCTAAAACTTGAATCAATTGACAAGCTGCTTACCTTTTGCCAAATGTCTGCCGCTGCTCATGATGCGTGCCTGAGAAGCAACTGGTGCCCCGAACGACGCTCGCTAGCCGTTTTATAAAGTGGCCGACGGAGGCGCCCTTCGCCTGCCGGTTCGCATTACTCGACTGAACTTGGCGGGCTGTGTGTCAACGATAACCTTTTGAGGCGGCGCTTCAATGGCTTGCATTGTCGACGCAGATGTCGCAGATGTCGCATAAAGTATAACTGGGACTAGGTAGACACGTGCAAGCCAATACAAAGTCGTGTACAGTGAAAACTTCGCTTACCTAGACACTTTTCATGTGCGATTATCGCATTTAGCCGGACAATTTAATGGAAATTATTAGAAACACTTTTTGTCACTAAATTCAAACCTTGCTGGAAAGCTAATGCTTCGATCCAATGGCTCGCCTTATAGCTCCAGGTGAAGTATCTCGGATTAATCTTCATTTTCTGTATTTTGATAAACTGATCCCACTTACAATTTAAACCTTCCTAGCGGAACTCTCCTCGAGGCATACACACACAAAATACGTCTTTCCTTTAACCAAAAACTTTATTCTATTCTCAAATCTTACAAAGTGCAAACCCAAAATCGATCAGATCTTACTCTGGGGCTGACAATTTCTGTGCTTTGTAAGCCAATTGTTCGGATTAGATACAACTTTTGATTGGGCAACTGGGAGTCAGGCGAGCAGGTCGTAGCTTGCATTGCCTGCTTTGCGGGTGCGCCAAAACTCGACATGCTGCTCGGGCGTGGCAAAGAAGGATTTGACCACATCATCCTTGAGCAGGAGCTCAATCCAGGCGCTCAACTTGGCAAAGCGCTGGCTATCAAAGCTATAGCGCTCGCCGAGCACATACTTGAGCACAGCCAGACGCTCGAACCAGGGCCAAATCATGTAGTCTACAAAGCCCGGCTTGTCGCCGCCAAAATAGGGTGTGCCACGTTTGCCCAGCTCCTCCTCGAATATGTCCAAGGCAGCCCAGAGCTCGTCGGGTGACGCATCGTGCAGCAGAATCTTCATGTAGCTGCCGGTGACACCGCTAAAACGCTCCACCAATATCTTGTCCTGAGCACGCTTCAATGGATCCTTCGGCAGCAGAGGGCTCTGCGGATACTTCTCGTCCAGATACTCAGAAATGATGAGGGACTCGATCAGCGACGGCTGCTCCTTTTCGGCAACCAAATGCAAGGCAGGCACTTTCAGCAGAGGACTGACCTCCACCAGCCACTCGGGCTTCTCTGTCAGATTGATGTAAACGCTATGATGAGGGACCTTCTTGGCATTGAGGACCAGATGGGCGCGCTGGGCATAGGGACAGAAGCGCATGGAGTAAAGGCGGGGCACGCCATCGTCCGGCAGCGCAGGCCTGGGGGAACCTACAGCAAGAAAAATCAATTATGACTCAGCAATTTGAGGGCAGTACAAACACGATAAGAATGTACGCGATAAATACGCGTATTTGCTAATATTGTAAACTTGTTTTTCTCCGGTTGACACGCGGCATATGCGTGTTTTGTTGAGACTTGTCTGCGATCTACATACCTTTGGCTAAATGTTTTCCAGAGCTCATTATGAGAGGTTGAAGTTTGATGCGGCCGAAAAAAGTCGTTTTGGAAAATAACTTGAAAATCTGTCTCTAGTTTAACGAAAGCGTCATTTGCTCGCCAATGTCAGCAGGCAACTAAACAGAACGACATATTTTTCTTCTAGAGTCGAGCACTGCCTCAGAGCTTTTATTGCTGTAAAATACTTTATCCTCATAACATGAGGTTGCCTTGGAAACGCTAAGGCTGTGCGCATGACTATTCAGTTTTGTTTTGGTTTTCTGTTGCGATCGATTGCTGCGATTGCTGCGGGTAATTGAAACTTACCTGTTACAATAAGAGAAAATCATTGCCACGTTCTCTTTATTGCACGTTCTCTGTAGTCAACATTCTGTGAAGCGCGCACGAAGAGCGCAAGCTTTTGCTCTCTCACATGCGTACTCTCTTAAGTACTGGCGCTTTTGTGCTTATTTAAAAACGATTTCTTGTTTATTATGCGAATAAAACGCTTTTGCTACATATTCGATTTTTAGTTGTACACATATGTGTATGTTTGTGTGTGTGTGAAGACGCATACACGCATGCGGTTGCTTAGCACTTCAAGAATGTATATATATATATATGTGCACACACATACTTATACACGTTGGTTTGTTGGTGTGAATGTTTGTAAATTGAAGAAATGCCGCTTTACAACTTTAATATTTTAATTGAACTGTCAACTACCAAGTACACACACATTTAGATGAGTAACTTTTGTTGTTTTTTCGGCGGCCTTCAAAAAATTAACTTATCCTATTTACAAAATTCTTAAAAACTCTAAGGAAATAAATGTTTATAAAAATATACGTACACATTTTTGAAATATAAAATATTGAATAATTAAAAAAAAATTTAAACGCTGCGTTTACTGCAAAATACAAAAGAACATTCATTTCAGTTGACAATTTGTTAAGATTAGCAAATGCTAATTTAAAAAAAAAAAAAATTAATTACATAATTGTTTTCTTTTCATTTGTTTGCCATAAATATTACATTTTTTTTTATACGCTTAAATGCTAAATGTTTCGATTCCGGGATTTTGGTTTAATTGCGCATTGTTGCTCGCGAGGGGGGAGGGGGAGGGGGCATTAAAGTTTAAAACTACATAGATTTAAAAATACTACAGAGTTAAATAATTAATCGTATGGTTTTTTGTTTTTTTTGTTTTTGGTTTTGTTTTGCATCGTTGCCTGACGATTCCGATTCTAAGTTTCGTTTACAGTTTCGTTTCAAGTTTGTCTTTTTGTTGTTTTAGTTTAGTAATTTGTTTGCTCTTCCTCTTACTATTTTCCATTTGTTGTTTTACATTTGTTGCTCTATAAAATATGCTGTGTTTGCGGCATTTTGATCACGGTTCTTGCTGTTTCGTATAAATATTTATCTCGATTTTGTTTTTCTTTTTGATTTCTGGAACGACTTGATTTTTTCAAAAAATGTTCATCTTATTGCTTCTCTCACTCGTGGCCTGACTTCTGGTGGTCTTGTTGTAGTTGTTTTTGTTGCAGCTTTTGCTGTGGTTCTGCTTGTGCCCGATCTGGCAGCAGGATTCATGCCGGCGACATCAGACCCGGCGACGCAGATGTGGCACCATTTCCATTGCCCCTGCTGCTCAGGCTCTGGCCACTCTGCCGGCTGGCATTGATGTACTTTTTATGCCCCACAGCCGCTGTGCCGGCACCTGAGCTGGCGACTGTTTGTTGGATTTGGCTGACGGCGGCAATCGAAGAGTTGTTGTTATTGTTGTTGCTGCTGCTGCTGCTGCTGCTGCTGCTGTGGACAAGTGAACAGAGAGTTCAACATATGCTCGATTAGGCAGGTCTTTAGGACACACACCCCTTCTGTTCGCCATCCTTTTTGCTATTGAACATGGCCAGTTCGATTTCCGTATGTTGGCTATTCATGTGCCGGACCCATTCCGCGGGCGTTTCGAAGGAGCTGCAACAGAGTGCAACGAGATTAAATATTTTGGGCATGGGCGTTGGCGTTGCAAAATGATCTTACGTGGAGCAGAGGTCACAGAGCAGTGTCACATGATCCATGTTGTTCTCCTGTTGCTGTGAATGCGAATGAGGAGGGATGGGTAGAGATAAGGGCTTGCCCAATACAGCAGCTGATCCAACGGCACTCACCGACACTCTGCGTCGCTTCTTTGGCACATAGGTTTTCAATGCTCTCAGCGCCAGGTTGCTGTTGGCTGTGGCGCTGCTGCTGCTGCTCCCGGTGCCGCTGGCGCTGGCGCCCATCACATTGCCGGCTGGCTCGGCGGCATGTGTGCCCAGGTGGCGCACCAGCATCTTGGTGTCCTCGAAGGATTTCTGGCATATCTCGCAAACGAGCAGCTTGAAATTGTTGTAATCGCGCAGCGTGTGCTCCTCGGACTCGTCTTGCTGCGAGCTGTTTGCCTCCAGCTTAACGGCGTTTATTTTAAAGTCCAGCGGCTGCTTAGGCGACAGCGGCGCCTCCTGACTGATCTCGTGGTGGTTCTCGTTGGGCAACGCTGCCGGTGGATTATTTGACCAATCGGTTGGCTCTTGTTTAATGGTCAGAAAACTGTGCGGATGCGGCGGTGTGGCCAGGCGTGGCGCAACTGCAGCCGTCACATCGTAGGACTTCACCACATGCTCATAGTGCGGGCCATCGTGCGCAAAGTACTCGTGCGGTGGGGCTAAAAATACAAGTTTATGCGATGAAAACGGTTGCTTTTCTGGAGCATTACAATTTCTTACCTCGATCACAGGAACGCTCGCGGCGTAGACGTCGCTCGTAGACCAGGCCGACATCATCTCGGTCGCGTTCACAGATTGGCTCCTCCACAAGACGATCTCGATCTGCATACTCTGGCCGGCGTAGCGTCGAGTCCGCCGGCTCGGTGGACGATGCAGCCAGCGGGCAGCTGCTGCAACCAACTTCTGTGCATATGGACATGGGTGGTGGGGGTGGAGGTGGTGCAGCGACAGATGTGGCTGTTGTTGACTGTGGTAGACTTTCGACTTGACTGGCTGCTGCATAGCAGCACTTGTCCTCGGGATCGATGGCCACCTCCTTGTTGACGGATATGCCGCCAACGCCACCATGCAGCTTGCTGCTGCTCGCCACGCTCAGCAGACCCGTGTGTGTGGCCATTTTGGGTGATTTGACAATTACCGGACTGTCCTTTGGCATTACGGAAGCGCCCAAGCCGCGAAACTGCTGCTGTTGATGATGGTGCTGGTGCTGGTGCGGATGCGTGTGCAGATGATCCAGGCTATAACGTGCCGAGCTGCTGCTGTTGCTGCTGGTGCTGGCCTTGGTACTGTACATATCACTGGGAAGCTGTGCTGACGACATGGGCGGTGGCGGCGCCAGTGTGGAACGCGTACCATTTGTTACATAAAGAGCGCTGGATTCGCGCGGATGGTGCAGATGGTGTCCATGGGATTGGCCCGACGCAGAGCTGCCGCCAACGCTGGAAGCGCTGGTGCGACAAAGACCGCGTATTTTCAAGATCTCACCGCCACGCAACACCTCATTCAGAATATCATTGGAAACGGTAGCTTCCCCGCTGTACATATACTGCACTAGGATTTGTATGGCACGATGACTCAGATCGGGCGGAAGCACAATATAGAGGACGCCGTTGGGCGCCGTAATTGGCGCTGTCTCGAACATGGTGGCAAAGAACTGGCTGCAGGAGCTCAAAATGAATTTGTGCGCCGATATGCCCACCGTGGGTATATCCGAATTGATGCCATTGTTGCTATACGAACTGTACAGCATAACGTCAGCAAACTTCTCATTCCTGCAAGTTGGTGGTTAATAACTGTCTGCGTGCATTATTTGTATACTTACTTGTAGAGCGTGGCTATGGAAGTGTTCAAATAGGACAAATGCGAGTCCCATTTCAGGTGATAGTTTTCGGCGGCCATTTTTTCGGCCTAATAGCGTTAGTTGAACGCAACTGTTGTCCTCTGTCGTCGTTTGTTTGGTACATAAAAAACATAATCAATAATTTAATCAATAAGTGGCGCGCAAAATGAAACGAAATATCCGCTGAACGTTGTCCAACACTGCGCACATGTTGTTATCGAAACGCTTATCGACCTATCGAATTGTGTTTGTTTTGATGCACTGCGGCGCATGCATTAGCTAAATTGTTTGTTTATTTTTTTACAATAATGTGCACGAGTGCAGAATTTGATAATCGTCTTATTGAGCTGGTGCGCGCAAATCCCAGTCTGTACGAACGCGAACTGCGGAAAACACCGTACGACGCGCACAAGAAAAAGAAAACGGAACTGTGGTGCAGCATTGCAACGTCCCTTGAAACGGACGGTAAGTCTCCCCCAGTATATATAGTATAGAGAATTACTATTCATTTTACAATAACTCGCGCAAATCCCGTCGAAACTGCCAGTCAGTACCTGCATAACACGCTGGAATTTCTTGCGTGAACGTCTACGTCGAGAGCTGCTCAAGGAACACTCGGATTGGAGCTTGTTGCCAAAACTGCGATTCCTTGCACACCACAAGCACTCCGGCAGCAGCGCCCATCACCATAATGAGCACGAGCTGCCGCAGGCTGTGCCCACATCGGCGCTATTAAATGTAAGCTGGCGTGCCCTCAGCACCGACCAGCTCATCGAACAGGATGAGGACGATGCGCTGCAGGAGGCCATGGACGAGCAGCATGTGGCTGCAGTTGTTGTACCACCGCCAGCCGCACCACCAGCAGCAGCGCCTGCAGCTATTGCCGCGCCATCGGGCGACGACACGATGAAACGCATCGAGGCACTGCTTCAGGGTTTGGGCGCAAATCGCACCAAGGCAGAGAAGAAGGTTCTGGCCTATTTGTGCAAATGCAATCTGCGAGCGCTCAACGATGAGCAAATCGATGATATATTCATTTAAATCACAACGCACTGATTAGTCCCAAATTGTAGAGTATGTCGTTTAGTTGTTGTACGTGAAAATCGAAGAGGAGGCTACAGCAAAAACAACTTCAACTATGACGCAGTTGGTTGAAGCCTTTCGTCTCGCTGTTGGTCAAAGAGTGCGCGCGCAAGCAATAACATGTCCAATAACCATGTCTGGCTGCTTTGGGTGGGATGGGGCTGTTGGGTGGTTAGTTGGGCAGACGACGCCAAACAAGCATTTAGTATATTAATTTCGTTGACACTGTCCTGCATGAAGACATAGGTGTAGCAAGCCCACCCCGATCTCCCCCTTTACCCGCAGCCCTATCAGCTAATACTCCAGCGCCTCACGCCCACCGTCCGCCCACCTTGCCATACTTGATGTGGTGTAGTGGCCGTAGAGCGCATTAACACCACATTATCGATTGATTTGGGCAAAGGCACGCACAGAAAATCGATAAGCATGCAGAGCCAATGCAAAATCATGTATATGCTTAAATTGTTTAAACGCCTTTTTGCTGCGCATAAATCACGACAATATTTTAAGTTTCGGTTTATTTATTGCTAATAAATGTTTTTGAAAAGTACGCGCCTAAATCTTATTTAAATGTGTCTCTCTCTCAGTGTGTGTGTGCGTGTGTGTGTGTGTGTGTACTTAATATACGATGTATGATTCACCTTGTGCGCTTTCCTTTTGCTTCGATAACTTAACGGTTAAATTTAATTTACAAATCGCTTTCTGCTTAACTTCGTATGTTATTTGTTATTGTTATTCTCCTTTTACAACATTTATGTAGGCACACGCACAAACACGGCGACGTTAACTGCGAACTGCGCAGCGCGTCCAAAGCTCTCGCTTGTCAGCGTACTAATAACCACGGAATAGGACTTCAAAGCTTGTCCTGGCCGCAAAAAGAGCGTTGGTGGCTACACAAAAGGAGAGCCAGAGAGAGCAACAGCGCAACGGAGAGCGTGAGCGTGAGCGTACGCCTGAGAGGACGAGCGCGTGCACTCACGTGCGCATTGTTATTGTTGTGGTTGGTTTGAAGTAAAACACACATACACACACACACACACAGGCAAACGCACACGTACAAGAGGAACGCGCGTAAATTGATTTTCCTTATCGATTTTATCTTTAGAGTGAACGTTATTTTTTCAAATTGGCTGCGTCTGCGCCTCGGCATCAGTTGCCGGAATTTCTTGTGCCAATTTCTTGCTGATTTCCTCCTGTTCCAGCTGCATTTGTGAGGCTGTCGATGTGTCCTGCTTAAATAGCTCGCGCAAGAACATTGTGGCATAAACGGCCGTTGGCAATGTGAACTCCAGCAGCAGGGCCGTATACTCGCCCTCTGACTCAGCGGGTTCGGGTGTAACTTCAATGTTTTTTAACTGCTCCCAGTCGGAGGCGATCAGAGTGTCCTCGTGTGTGCTGTACCGGCGGAAACTCCATTTTAAGTCGTCCGTTTGTATTAACAGTTTACGATAGGCACCGCCCAATGCATAGGTTTTCTCCTTGTGCCGCAGTTGCTCCGAGCTTAGGCCCACCTCGGCGAGCATTTCCTCATACCAAGCGGCACATTCGTTGTTGGGGTAGGTAATATCGTAGCCAGGCAGTGGCAGCACCACATCCGACAGCTTGTACTTTCCGCCGGCAATGTCCTCGGCGCTTAATGGCCGCACTTTACGTTTAAATATTGACTCCTCTTCCAGCAAATTGTCGGCATCGCCGTCTAAGTCATCTTCGACGATTTCCTCAGATTCAGCTGAAAGGACTGGCTCTTCTGGAGCTTTGACTTCCTGACCGCTTTCGTCCTCAACATAAACCAGATCTCCAGGTATTAGCTTCAGGCCAAACTCCTTAATGCGTCGCGATGCAATGCGATTAAAGATCAGGCTCTGATATGCATGAGGATACAGAAGCAGCATATTGCGTGGTATGCGACGCAGAGCTGCAGCATAATCATTCTCGCCGTATGTGGCTAGGCCGTCCAGCAGTTTCTTTTCAATGAATTTATTGCCATAGAACTTGGCGGCAGCTGCAGCAGAATCCCGATTCTCCCACCAGGCCTCGCGTATGGCACGCATAAACTCCACATCGTTGTCGCGCGGCTTCAGTATCAGCTCACATGCCAGTTTATAGTCGCGTTTAAGCAGCGCCACGCCCACCTCATAGGTGGGCACACTGGCGCTATTACCGAACCGCTGCAAGCCATAATAGTTGATGAAGCCGCGCTCCTTCAATGATTGCAACGCTGACTCGATGTGTTCCCGCGGATGTGTAATGTGGCGCAGGGCAATGCGAAAACGATTGCCCTTCAGGTCACCCAGTTTCAGCGTATCGGGCCTAAAGCTAAAGTTGCCAATGTAGACATTTCCCATGCCCCGAGCCGCATTGGCTATAGCCTCGGGCGTCCGACGTTTGATGCAAAAGCGTTGCGTGGTTTTGGCGCGTTTGTCTTTGGTGCCGCAATAATTCACCTGAGAGGGACGCAGGCTGTTGAAAAATAATTGGTCATTTTACGAGTTTAATTACGCACGTCTGCACTCACGTCAAACGATTGGCTAGCGTTGAGGCAACCTCACTCGTGTCCATGTTGACTTTGTGCACCAAAAAGCAGACAAAGTCATGGGGAAAGTTCCATCGATTGTCAGCTGTGGGTAAATAGGAAGATATGCATATAAAGTTGAAGTTAATTTTACATACTTACAGCGACCTGGCTTGGGCTTTGAAATGCGTATGATTTTCTGCTCCTCGGCAGTGGGCACCTGTTGCTCTGGCTGCTGGTCAAGTGTCTTGGACACCAGTTTACTCTTGTACAGCTGCTTAACAAGGTGATGTATTTGCGTACGCTGCTCCTTGGTTAGGCTGCTAACGTTTATATCCACATTCTGGTCAGACTTGGCATCATATTTGGCTGCGGATAAGTCAGCTATCTGCTGCCACACGGTCTCGTCAATAACTGTAGCCAATTTTTCACGCCATTCGTCCAGCAAAGAAGGCTCCACAGCTACAAAGTATTTACAGTTAAGACTCAACTAATTTACTTCAATCGCGGCTACTAACGTTCAATTTCGATCTTTGGCACTTTGAGATCGTTCAGCTGTAGCACGTGCCCTTCGGTGTCAATTTCGTTCACATGGAAATCGGAAAATCTGGATTTCAAGATGCCCGTAAAGCCAGCTATTTCTGCATTTGTGAATTCCGTTATGCCGACTTGGTTCTCGCGCAGAGTACACTTTTGCTGTGGTGCTCTGTGATGGAAGCCGGTTAGAACAGAATATAAGATGCTAATGCATTGTACTCCACCTGTTGCGCGGTTGTGAATGAATGTTTCCATTGCTATGTTTGGCATGCTCCTTCTTTTGACCACGCCAGTTGTTCTTGTTATACGGTTTGGATTGAAAATTCCGACGTCCTCGTCCGCGGTCCTTGCCCATTTTCAACGAATTTTTAGTAAGTACGTTTTTGTTTTTCTTCTTCTTTAATCATTATCGATATTTCTTTGAACCCACGTTTTAATCAATTTGCCATTCACATGCATGCGTATGCAACTATCGATAGACCCAACGATAGTTAAGTGGCTGCAGTGACGATGGCTTTGTTATAAAAGTTTATTGTAAAATGAGAAAAATTTCAACACGTTAAGCGAGGCTATTAAAGTCGTTTAATATAAAATAAAAGTGCTTAAAAATTGTGATAAAAAAGAATAATATGCTGCCACACATAAGTGCTGAGGAAAACATTCCCCCCGTGGGCAGAAAGGTGTATATTAACCCAAATTTTCATAACCAAATGGCCAGTTCACTGCAGGCTCAAGGTCGACCCAATAGCACGGCGCTCCAAGCATGGGAACGACCAGCCATACACATCAATCCGCAATTTCTGCTGCGCCAGCGGGAATTACAGATGCAGCAGATGCAACAGCTACAGCAACAACAACAACAACAACATATTGCGCATTATCAGCAAACTGTTGCTGCCGAAGTGACGCCGCCTCCAGCTAAAATCATAAGTAAAGCGAGCACTTGTCTGGTGCGGAAGCAGCCTGTGAAAACCCACGTGCCCACGCCCGCGTCTATTCTACGCGTCCAGCCGCCTCTAGTTAGCATATCCAAGCGAAAGATCGTTAGACAAGGCGCCAGCGTAGCAAAACCCGCGACAGTTACAACGGCCACGCCCACAGCTAGAACGACTCCTGCGGCCAAGCGCACCAAATACAAACTGGTGCGCGCCATATCCCTAACCGCCCACAGCAGCACACCGCTGGTGAAGAAACGTCGCTCGCGCGACTTTGTGGCACGCTATGCTCTGAGACGCACAAATGATTCCATCGCAACCAGAAAGTCAAGGTACGTAGCTAGGCAAGATTCATAAACTGTTACTCCAATTTACTATACGAATTGCAGCTTAAAATCGCATATGCTGAAGCCCAGCGTCAACAAATCTCTGAGCATGGTTAGCATACACGGCGTCATGTACAAGAAGACAGCTAAGAATAAGCTGACCAAACTGGATGCCAGAGCTCCAGCATTGAAAACGTTGCAGTCGCCGCTGGCAAAGTCAACTAATTCCACCGGTCGCACACTGTTCGTGCGTGGCACCAAGTTCGTATTGGATCCCTCCGGCTGCCGTTTAACGCGCGTAGCTCCCCATAGCCCACAGCTGAGCATAAACAAGAGTCTACGTCTGCGCATCGATATTGGTGGCTTGACCTATGTATCCTCGCCTAATACACAGAACGTTTTCATACGTACCACCAATCATGTGTCCCGTGCCCATCTCATGACAGCCAAGCAGCGCAGTTTGCAGTTGCTTAACCGTTCCCTAGTGAAGACCAATGTGCCGTGCGCTATTTACCAACGGCTGGGCAAGTGTGCGGCACACAGTCGCGGCAAGTGTCGACGGCTGCACGACAAGCGCCAGGTGGCCATCTGCCCAAGGTCAGTATAGCCAATCCACATGACAACGACTTGAACTCGTCATGGTATACTTGTAGCTTTCTGCGTGGAGAGTGTGCCAAAACCGACTGCCTGTTGTCGCACAATGTGACGCTGGAGAAGATGCCTGTGTGTCGCTATTATTTGCGTGGCGTTTGTGTGCGGGAGGATTGTCCATATCTGCACAAGAAACTGAGTCGGAAGGCGGAGATATGCATTGACTTTCTACGTGGTTACTGCGCGCGAGCCGCTGATGTAAGTTTTGCGCTAAACAAGCTGTGATTCTTATTAACTCCATTGCCATTTCAAGTGCAATATGCGCCATGAGTTTGTGTGTCCGGAATATGCGCGTAGGGGCAAGTGTGAACTGACCAACTGTGTCTACTGCAAGCAAATGAAGCAACAAAAGCTGACTGCAGTCCGGCTCAAACCTAAACCTAAACCCAAACCCGAACTGTCCGTCCCCAATGTTCCAGCTGTTACGAATTGCTCGGCCGAGGAGATGCCCAGCAGTTCGCGATATTTCAAGTGCGAAAGTGATAAGTTTCAGGTAGATCCGCAGGAGGATCAGCAGTTAGATGAGTGCTTGGGCGATGACGACAACTCAACTGGCAGCAGCGGACCGCGTCAGCGACCCAAGCTTGGC